TGAAATTCCATATCAGAAATTGCAGCCATGATTTGTCGTAGACTCACTTCAAATCTCCTAAAAACCTGTTTTCCTTCTGCGTCTCCCACTTGCTTCATCTCCCACCGCCACCACCAGCAGCAGCAGCAGCAATGGCTCCAACAACTCACTGGTCATCCCTTTCCTAATCCCGCCTTTGCACCCTATAGACCCTTAAACCCTGAATTAGGTGTCTCAAACTTCTCTTCAGCCTCATCTAATCGAACCCCAGATTCTGAGTTTCTTTCCCTTTCAACCCCTCACAACATAATTCCCAATCCCAATTTCATTAGGTCAGGGGAATTCCCTATTCTTCATCAGATCCATGCATTTCTTGGTGGTTCTATCAGACTGCATTCAACTGAATCGAATGTTCAAAACCCTAGATATTTTTCAACTTCTGATGCCAAAAATTCTGAGTCCGAGAAGCCACAGGGCCCTGGGGTGCATAGTCAAAACCCTGATTTCAAGCATCAAGAAATCGAAGGACCAACTGTGGATCGTGATTTATCAGCATTGGCTAATGAGACCAGAGAGGTTCTCGAAGGGATGATGAAGAAGATGTATGGACTCAGCAATGCAGTGGCACTCCTGGGTCTGGTGCAGCTAGGCCTTGGAGCTTGGATATCTTACATGACTCGATCGGACCCAATAATGGAGGTCTCAATCCAAAGCATTTTGGCATTTGGGTTCCCTTTCTCAGTGGCCTTCATGCTGCGGCAATCATTGAAGCCCATGTACTTCTTCAAGAAGATGGAGGAGCTAGGAAGGTTGCAGATTCTGACTCTCACTCTTCAGGTTGCTAAGAATTTGAACCTTTTGTTTGGTCGGGTTCGTGGCCTCTCTATCTTGTGTGTTGCAGGGGTCTTCATTGGATCGTTATTCACTGTCATCACCAAGTTTTGATTTTGTGTTTCATTTATGGTCCATTTTCTGTTTAATATTTTTGGCATATAAATGTTGAACATCTATAGCTTGATGTATGAATTGTGGATTTCATTTTGGAAATCCAAAATTTTCGATCTACATAGAACTTGTAGATCTATGATTCAAGATCATCTGGATTTTGGGAATCGAAAATTGTTATCTTCTAATGGTTTATATGTGCAATGAGCACTTTCTGGAGAATTTGAATGGGTGACATAACATCAGAGTTGATTATTATTGCAAATTCTTCACAAAAATGCACACATATCAAAGGCTCAGTGGTTTGCCCATAAACATTAAAGTGCTCGGGTTTGTTGGCTGGTGTTTCAAATTCCACCAACGCTTTTTTGAAAAATCCCCCTCCCCCAAATTGTAAATCGTTCAAAAAAATATTGCCATATCAAACAACAACCACAAAAGAAAACAAGAAACAAAACTGTCAGTCATAGAAAAGGCAACCAAGTTTCAATTAATCTTTTTTAATGTTCTTTAAATTCTCTCTATTTCTCATTATTATATTATATCATAAAAGAAACTAGTACCTCCAGGGCTCTAAAAACAGAAGAAGAAGAAGAAGAAGACGAAGAAGAAGGAGAAGAGATGGCCATCCATCCTCCCTATTCACAAATTCCAATCTACATAACTCGGGGAAGGACTAATCTACCACGTCACATTTTTTACTCCACTCCCTCCCACCCACCC